CTAAGGCGATAGCAAAAGCAAAAAGAGGAACAGGAGGAGGCTAAGGTAGTAAGCAAGAAGCAAGAGCAAGAGAAAGGGGAAGAAAAAGAGGAAGAAAAGGAGAAGGAGAAGGAGAAGGAGAAGGAGAAGGAGAAGGAGAAGGAGAAGGAGAAGGAGAAGGAGGAGGAGAAGGAGAAGGAGAAGGAGAAGGAGCAAGAGCAAGAGCAGGCTAAGACCAACGCCGAGGCAATAGGAAAGAAGCAGAAGCCTGGAGCAAGAGGTAAGAAGCAGAAGGCTAAGGCTACGGCAACTGGAAAGAAGCAAAAGCGGGATGAGGCCACGGCTAGGGCGATAGGCAAACAACAAAAAGAGGAACAGGGGGAGGCTGAGGCAGTGAGCAAGAAGCAAGAGCAAGAGCAAGAACAGGCCGAGCCCGAGGCCACAGCTACCTCGAGCCGTCAGCACAACAGGCGAAAACGAGCTCGGTCCGTTGAAGAAGCCGAGCCCACATCGACGAGAGCGAACGAGGGAGGTGAAGAGGCTAGCAAAACACGAAGTGAAAGAGGCGGCGGCCAATTGGCTGACGACGTTCCATCACGTCGCAGTCAGCGTCTTGCCACGCAAGGTGAGCAGTCCTCTCCAGGCGTGCCGCCAACGCCAGGTCCGCCAACAAAAAAGCCAAAAGAGCGTCCAGAAAGCCTCGGTGACCGCCGGGGAGTACGTCTCCTCCCTCGTTCTAGTAGAGTGGTGCCTGACTCAATGGCTTATCTTGGTGAGCTGCTACCTGGTATGCATGAGCCCACGTCCTCCTGTCAGATGTCAATTTTGTGTGTGCGTTGTATAGTAGGAGTTAATTCAAAGAGTGCAATGTTCTTCTTTTTTCGACTACGGTTTATTATTGAAAACGGAGGCTGCGCTTAGCGAGAAATCACCATGCAGTACCACACCGCCGGTACTGGAAAGAGAGTGCAATTGAACAAAACCAAACCCCCCTTACCCTCATTGTACCATAGCCGGCAATCAGTACATGAACTCGCGTTGAATCTCATCTCGAAATGGCCACCTCATCCTAGCGTCGCGCGCTTTCAACCACACCACACCACCAGCCCCGCTACATAGCCGCACCAAGTCAGCCTCGTGGAAGCCACAGGCATCCAAAGCATTACTTACCTTTGCATCCTTGGCTCCGCCGACTGTCGTTGCGATGGACCCCCTCAGCGCCATTGGCTTGGCATCCGCCATTGTCCAGTTTGTCCAGTTTGGCTTCCAGATCGCCGACCGGCTGCAGGACCTGACGGCCAAGCACCCGGGGCAGATTCCCAAGGCCCTCCAGGGCATCTCGATGCACCTGCCGCTGCTGGCCAACTCGCTGTCCAAGATCAAGTCGGACGCCCGCATCAGCGTGTTTGACCTAGACACCAAGTGCATCCTCAAGGGCATCGTGGCAGGCTGCCTCACGCAAGTACAAGAGGTCGAGGCTATGCTCGAGGAAATCGCCTGCACGCCGGGCGACTCGCTGAAAACCAAGCTCAAAAAGGTCATGACGAGCATGAAGTACGAGGAAAAGCTGGCGCGCATCGAGCGCAACCTCAACACGTACATTTCGGTTCTCATCCTGCATCACGTCGTCGACGCGGCGGATGCGCCCAAGGACTTGCTGGATGAGACGTATTTTGATGTCCGCGAGAAACTCACCGACGCGCATGTTGAGCGAAAAGGCCTTGTCGAGCAGCTCGACGCACACTTTTATGACGCGTCCCGCTCCCAAGTAACGTCGCCCACCGTTTTGCTCCTCTCTGGTAAAAAAGGCGCAGGCAAGACGCAGCTTGCTCTTGGCTACTGTCGTGCTGTCTACGAGCTGCGGCAGTTTCGCACCGTATTTTGGCTGGACGCGTCCACACTTGAGAAGTTGAACTTGGGCTTTGAGCGCATGTTTGCGACGGTCAACCAGAGCATCCAAGGAACGCGCACCGACAAGATTAACTTTATCCGGAATTTCTTAGAGGAGCTCTGGCACCCCTGGCTCCTCATCCTCGACAACTACGACTCTGCGCTCCTCTACAACCACATCATGGACTTTTTACCCAGTCGAGGGTCCGGCGCCATACTATTGATCTCTGAGGAAGAGGAAAATGGGCTTGGAAAGGTGCTACACGTGCCAAATTACTTGGGGCCCCACGAGCAAAAGCGTGTCGACTCGTTGCTCCAAGCCGCTGTCCAGAACAAAGACTTGGCCGCCATCAAGGAAGCCGTTGAGCAGGGCGCCGACGTCAACACCAAGATCTGGGACCAGTGGCCCTGCATACACCGCCTGGCACTCTTTGGCATGGTCGACGCGCTGCAGTACCTCGTGGATCGCGGCGCCGATTTGCAGATTGACGCCCAGGTGGCGCCGACGCTGCACTGGGCGGCCACTGATGGCAGTGAGGCGACGACCCGGCTCCTTCTCGACTACGAAGACAAACAGCTCGTCTCTTTCTCCCGGGCGACGCATCAGGCGGCTTTTGCCGCCGCGGTCGAGGATGGTCATATGGATGTGGCGCGGATGCTGCTGCAGAGACGCAACGTCAGCATCCACGCGCCGAACCGATATCAGCAAACGGCGCTGGAGAGCGCGGCGGACAAGGGCCGAATTGATCTTGTGCGATTTTTGATCGACCAAGGTGCTCTGCGCGATAATAAAGCAGCTGGGGAGAATGCGTTGATCAAGGCGGCTTCTCGCGGCCATTTGGAGACGCTGAAAATTCTCTGCCTGGAGGGAAACGTCAGTGCCGCTGCTCGTCGTGACTCTGGGGACTCTGCACTGATTCTGGCAACGGACTCCGACTACAACGACACGACGCTTCAACTGGCAGCGTTCCTGCTGGAACAAGGCGCCAATCCTGACCCAATTGGCTATCAGGATGGCCTGCTTCACAAGGCCTGTGTTCGGGGAGAGCTAGACTTTGTACAGCTGCTGTTGAAGCACCATGCTGATCCGACAATTGACGGTGCCGGATACTGCCCGCTCCAGTATGCCATCCAGTACGACAATCCAGAAATTGTCGACGTGCTTCTCACTACAGAAGTCCCCAACGCAGAGAAGCGCGCGTCTTGGCTCGACTCTGCCTTACTCTACGCGGCCCGGATAGGCAAGCGCGGGGCCGTCCTGCAACTCCTCGAGCAAGGTGCCAATATCAATGTCCGGCTCAAGGAGGGCCATCCTGTCGGCGCAACCAGCCTGCTGCTGGCAACCTTGGAAGGCCACGTGCAGACGGCGCAGCTTCTCGTCCGTCGTAAAGCGCGACAGGATATTGCCGATGAAAGGGGGCGCTTGCCTCTGTCGTCAGCTATCGCGGGCGGTCACCATTTACTCGTCCGGGACTTGATCCGCGCTGGCGGCGATGCCAACATGGCGAGTGGCGAGAACAAGGATACGGCCCTCATGGTTGCCGTCGCAGCCAACCATGAAAAGGTCGTCGAGGTGCTGTTGAAGAATGGGGCGAATGCGCAGACGACGAACAAGTTTGGGGAGACGGCACTCGATATTGCGGAAGAGAAGGACTACGAAGATATTATTAAATTGCTCAACCAATGATTCAATGATACGATACCATTCTACAGTTGTGTTCTTAGCTGGCTTCTGACTGCCAGCGTCCTCCAGGCGATCTGGCCCTTGCGTCATTCGGATCCCAAACGTAGCTGTCGCTCTGAGAAATACTGCTCAATATTTGTCGGGTCAGCTTCGGTGTCGATGAGCGCGACATATGTATCCGGTCTCAACAGGTAGACGGCATCTTTCAAAAGCCCGGCCGTGGCATACTCGGGCGCCCATTCGAGCACCGTCAGCCTCAGGCCAGCCGCTTTGCACCATGTCGTCAGTTGCTCGTCGGCAGTTCCGTAGACATGAAGTTGCCACTCAATATGGGCAAGCGATTGATGGTTGTCCTGTCCGTCGATTTGAACCCACGGAAGGCGCTCACCAGCCTTGACAGTACCGACCGTCGGGCTGGCGCCAGCAAGCGTCGTGCCTGTGTAGTCGAGGATGAACTGCGACAGGCTGTGAAAGGCGCGTTGACGAACAGCCCGGAAGCCGAACAAGACGGGGAGAATGTACGTGACAAACGCCGAGCGCACGAGGCCGGCCAACCACCCGCGCCGCGTCATAAACGTAAAGACCTTGTCGGTGGTGGCCACCAGCTTCCGCGCGAACCGGATGCGCTCCTCCTCGTACGTGTCCAGCAAGCTGTCGGGGGCCCGGTCCTGCAAGACGGCTGCCAGTTTCCAGGCGAGGTTGACGGCGTCGCCGATGCCCGTGTTCATGCCCTGGCCGCCCGCCGGGCTGTGGATGTGCGCCGCGTCGCCGAGCAGGAACGCGCGGCGGCCGTGGCGGAAGCGGTCCGCCACGCGGTGGTGCGCCCGGTACGTGGTGAACCAGCGCACCTTGATGTCGCCCAGCCGCATCTCGTCGACGGCGCGGCCGCGGACCTGGTCAAAGCTCGGCGTCGTCGCGGAGGAGCAGGCCGCCGGCGCCACGATGCCAATGAGGCGCGCGCAGCCCTTTTGCGCCAGCGGAAATATGCCCAGAAAGTCGTGGCTGTCGAGACACAGGTGCAGCTCGCCGTTCATGGCCGGCCCGGTCGCTTCAATGTCCGCCACGTAAAACACTTGCTCGTACGTGTCACCGGGGAAGCCCATGCCCGTGATGCGCCGCACCGCCGAGTGCGCGCCGTCACAGCCCGCGATATATCTCGCCTCGCACGTCTCCCTCGCTCCATCCGCTGTTGCGAGCACCGCCTTGACGGACCCCGCGGCCGCGTCTTCCGCAAAACCCTCCAGGCGCGTGCCGCGCTCCACGGCAACGCCCAGCGCCGCCAGACGCGCCGTCAGCAGCTGCTCGTGCTCGTGCTGCGAGACCACCGCAACGTACGGGTACGCGGTGCGCCCGACAGCCACGTCGGTGAAGCGCAGGCGCGCGCGCTGCGTGCCGCCCGACCACAGGTTCGGCCCGGTGACGTGCGCGGCCCGCGCGGCGACGGCCCCGCCGAGGCCGATCTGGGCGTACAGCTCGAGCGTGCGCGCGTGCACGGCGAGCGCGCGGGACGTGGTCGCCGGCGCCGCGGCCTTGTCGACGATGCGCACGCTGATGCTGAGCTTGGTGAGCCAGAGGGCGAGCGCGAGACCGGTCGGGCCCGCGCCGACGATGAGGACATCTGGTGTGGCCATTATTGATTGCTTTGTGATATGGACAAAGGTGGACGGGTTGGGACCTAAATATATGAAAGAATTGTTTGTCAGAGGACAATCAGAGGAGCAAACTTGTTTGTAAGAGCGCCCGCAGGGTTTTATACTCGGGCATTTTGCGTCATGCGCGAACGAGGCAACTACTTCGTATTGCTGGTGCCACCGGCCTATTCCCGGAGGAAGCCCATCGGCAAGTCGGTGGGCCGATGTGGTAGCGCCCTCCGCGGAGCAGGGTGGAGGGCCGGGACGGGGCCGACCGACCCGGTGTCGTGGGCCTTGACGGAATGGAGGTGAATAAGTGATGAAAATGGCTTTCGTATCGCCATCTAAATACAAGTAGTTTAATAGCCTGTTTTTCCTTGCACTAATATTAGTATCTACGCAATGCTTTTTCATGGCTTCTGTTGGCGAATCGAGTCTCAGCCGTTGAATCAGGGTAGCCGGAGGAATATGGGCGGCAAGTCCGCTAAAATGCTAAAATGGGCCGAGTCTCGCCTTGGCTGAACTGAACCTCCATGGATGATCGCCCGGGTGATGCCGACCCGGCCCCCGTCAATCCGCCGCAACCCATGACAACTTGATACGAGCCGAAACATTATGACTCGTCGATTCAGTCATTTGTTATATAATTCATTTGTACAGAGTACAACATGTACAGAGTACAACAGAGAAAGCTTGCAGCTGAGGTCCAGACCTGCAAGCACGTCGATGATCTACGGTACACCCCTCCAGGTCTATCGAACAGATACTAGCTGAGGCGCTAGTTGGGCGCAGGCTGACGAGGCGGAATCTCACCCAACATGGCAATTCCCACAGCCATCGTCTATGTATTGTATTATATTGTATTTCTATTTTACATCATACTATCCCTAAAAAGGGTAAATAACGCCTATAGGGACCTTATAAAACTAAACTATCTACCTAAACTTCTAAATTTTTTAAATAATTCTAATTTTAATAGGCCTATCTAATAAGTCTTATAAAGCTTTTACTAATTACTTATATAGTTAGTAAAAGACTACTTAAAGGCTTAATAACTTATAAAAATAGGGAAGATAATAAAAGGAGTATAATAAGACTATCTTAAATATATCTTACTAAAAAATAAGGTATTCTAAATAAGCTTTATATACTTAAGCTATTTAGTATTTATAGTTTTATTAATATTATTAAGGTATATAAAATACTTAAGTAGAAAAAGTAAATAAAAGATATATTAAATATAAGTTATAAGTAAAAAAAGTAAATTAATTAGATAATAAAAGAAGAAAGAAGAATTATAGTATTAATAACTTTATAAATTATATATAAATTATATAAAGGAATTACTATACTTTATAGTTAGAGATTTTAAAGACCTTTCTTTAGCTTTTTAATAACTATTAAATACTTTAATATTATAAAGAAGTTAGGCTTAATACTACTCTAGGCTAGGCTTAGCCTAAGGCTACTATAGGCATACCCTTAGTATGCCCTCTTTATATACTATAGTAGATAGATAGACTAGCTTTTCCTTCTTTCTTACTTTATAAGAGAGTTAATACTATTATAATACCTATCTATAAATACCCTAAAGCTAGTCCTTAATAAATATAGGGTTAATATAGGTATTTTAAAGTATTTAAGAAAAGGTATTAAAAGTATTCTAAAGTATTTAGCTATTATATAACTTCTTTATAATTTATATAGTAATTATTCTTAGTAAATAAATATTAAGAACTAGCCTTAAGGTATTTATAAATAGGTATTATAATAGTATTAACTCTTTTATAAAGTAAGAAAGAAGGAAAAGCTAGTTTATCTATTTACTATAGTATATAAAAGAGATATACTAAGAGTATACCTATAATAGCCTTAAGTTAAGCCTAGCCTAAAGTAGGCTTAAGCCTAACTCCTTTATATATCTTCCCTTTCTAATATTACCTTAATTATATTTATTATACTTACCTTAATTAGTATAGACTTATTATACTATTTACTTAAGTTAGTATATATTAATATATATATAGTATTATTATTAAGCTATTATTTAAAGTTTATATTTCTTAGCTTATATATATATTATTAAAAAGTATTTTTATTATATTCTTTATTTATTTATTTTTTATTATAGCCTTTATACTTTAGAAATTCCTTTAGATAGTTTATATATTATAATTACCTTTATTTTAAGCCTATTTATTTAAATAGCTAGGTTCTTTTAGCTTTATTTTTACTTTATTTATAACTAATTATATTATATTTTAATATTTTAATATTATATAGGCTAGCTCTAAGCCCTTCTTAATATACTTAAGGAATACTTTTACTCTCCCTATAAAAGACTTAAGGGGTATTAGGAATCTTATTATAAACTATATAGCTAGTTTATAATAATTATATAATAGGAAGTTTAGGCTAAAGCTTATAATAAATAAGTCTTAATTATTAAATATAAACTAGGCTATTAGTAACTAGGTAGGCTAGTTATATTAGGAGTATATAACTAGTACTTAAAGTATTACCTATACTTCCTAGTTTACTTACTTTATTTTACTATTTATTTAAAGGTAGAAAGCTATTAATAAAAGCTATTTAGTACTAATTAGGTAGTATAATATTCTTTAAAACTTATTAACCTAGTCTAAACCTTTATTATTTATAAACTAATTAAAAAATCTATAAAAGTACTATTAATATAAAAGGAACTATATTATATAGTTTTTTACTATTATAAAGTTTATTACCTTAAGCTAGATATACTTTAATAGTTAGTTAGTAATTACTATTAAAAAATATAACTAACTTTCTTTCTAGGCTAATAAATCTATTATAAAGTTAATTAAGATTTACTATTAATACTACTTTTTAATAAGAATTAACTATAAAAGTCTTTAATATAGTTTTCTTAACTTATATACCTTAAAATACTTATAGTTTTAAATATAATATACTATATTTTAGAATATTCTAGACTAATAGTAGTCTTATATAAGTAGTAAGAATATAATATTCTTCCTTAAGTATATTACTATAAGTAAAGAGTATACCCTCTTTATTAAGGTAGTTATTAGTAGTTCTTAGCTTAGAACCTATAGGTAACCCCTAAACTAAAGCCTTTAGTAAGTAGAAATAGTATAATTTATAACTTACTTATAAGTCTTAGCCTTCTTTAAAAAGAACTAGGTATCTTAGTATATAGCTACTAGCTTAGTAAGATAGCTTAGGTTTATTACTATTTTATCTTTCTATAGTACTAAAAGCTCTAGGTTTATAAATAGTAATAAATATTACTTACTTATATTTATTATTATAACTACTATAATATTAATTAGCTTTATAATCTCTTTTAAAGGCTTCTTTAGATTATTTTTATATACTTCTTATTAGCTAAGGGTATTTAGTTATTATACTAGTAGTTTAGGTTAATAGTATAACTAGAATTAAAATTAGGAAAGGAACTTTACCTATTTAGTTTATTATTCTAATAATAGGTATAGTTTTATAAAGTACTTAAGGTTCTTATAATTAGTTAAGATTATAAAGAGGTTTTCTTACCTTTAAAGCTTAAGCTTTTATACTTTAAGATATATAATAACTATTAAAAGCTCCTTATTATAGATTATATAGTTTTATTTTATAGTTAATAGCTTAATAAGGTAGTAAGCTATTAACTAGAAAACCTTATTCTTATTAACTTATAATAAGTAACTACCTAGTTCTATATTAAAGATATCTAGCTTTATTAGTATCTTCTTTATTAAGTCTTAAAAGCTTAAGTATAGGCTTAATAGGAATAGTAATTTTAATATCTTAAATATAGTTACCTTTTCTTTATTCTATATAAATAGTATACTCTTCTTTATTAGCTAGGTAAATAGCTTTTATATAATTAAGAAGTTTAGAATAAAGTTATAATAAAAGTTTATAAATTTATTAAAGCTTTAAACCTCTTTTACTAAAGTAGGTACCTCCTAATTATAGATTATATATATTTTCTTTAAATCTAGCTTTAATAAAACCCCTACCTATATAATAAATCTTAAGTATTTTACTATTTTTATAAAGAAATTATACTTTACTAAGTCTATATAAAGACTAATATCTTTAAAGTAGTTTAAGATTATCTATACTTTTTCTTTATAATCTTATAAAAACCCTAAGGTATAGATTAAGATATTATTAAGGTAGGCTATTATATAGTTATTAAGAAAGTTACCTAGTATATAGTTAATATACTATTAGAATATTATTAATACTTTAAAGAGATTAAAAAGGTATATAAGCTACTTAAAAAGGCTAAACTAAGTCTAAAAAGCTATAAACTTTTTAAACCTTATCTTTATTTATAGCCTATAAAATACTAAATAGATATTAAACTTTATATACTATTTTACTATTAAAAAGGCCTATAATATCTTCTTAATAAGTAAGAGTAGGTATTTATTTTCTTTTAAGATTATATTAAGCCTTTTATAATTTATATAAAAGTACTACCTTCTATTTAACTTCTTTATTAAGAATACTAATACTATAGCTAAAAATAAACTTACTCTTATTTAGCCCTTATTTAATAAGGATATTAGCTACTTCTATAGTTCTAGTAACTAGTCTTAAAGTATATAGTAAAGATAGCTATATAGTAGTTATTCTAGTATACTATTTAGCTTAGTTTTAATCTTAATCTTATAATTAAACCCTTTTTAATAGAGTAGTAATACTATTATATCCTTTTTCTAGAAAAGGTCTTTAAACTCTTTATATTACTAAGGAACTATCTATTCTTTAACTAGCTTTTAGTAGAGAGTAGTATTAATCTTATAAATACTTATTAATATAATCTATATTACCTTATAGTATTCTTTAAAGTCTACTTTAAGCTAATAGTAAAACTAGCTTCTATTAAATAGTATTAAGCCTTTTTTATTCTTTTTATAGTTTTCTATATATATTTTTTAATATAGCTTTATCTTAAAGTAAATAAAGCCCCTTTCTATATTTATTACTAGCCTATAGTAAGTAAGTTAAGGTAATTTAAGTATTATTAGCCTTAATAATATAAGTATTATATAAAGTAAGATTAAGAATACTTAGCTATTAATATCTATTTTTACCTTTATTATATTAAATACTATAAACTTTAATACCTTTTTCCTTATAACTAGTTTAATTCCCTATTTAGTTAATAATAGGATTCTTTTAAAGTATAGCCTATTTACTACCCCTTTCTATATTACTTTATAGTATTTATAGCCTAAGTTAATAAGGGTACTTATTAGTATATATACCTTTAGAATAGTAAGAATAAGAAATAGTTTAGTATTTATTTATTTAGCTATTTCTTTCTAGACTACTTTATTCTACCTATTTATTCCTTTTTAACCTTTTATTATTATAATTATTATACTTAAAAAGAGACTTATCTTTAAGTATTCTCTTTTCTTAAGCTATTAAACTAGTCCTTTATAAAGATACTACTTATATAGACTAGTATTAAAGGTCTAATTACTTTAAGCTTATATATTACTCTTTTATAGCCTAGCTTTTTATAATAAAGATACTACCTTACCTCTTAGTATATATTAAATACTACCTTAAATACCTATATAATATACTTTCTAGACTATATACTATTTAAGGTTATATTACTAGTAATTAGTATAATTCTAAAGGTATAAATACTTATTATTTAAATATTCTCTTCTTTATCTATTTACTACCTATATAAGCCTTATTATAGACTAGTTTAATATTACTTTTTAATTCTATATAATTTAAAGTTTATTACTTCCTTTTAAAGTATCTAGATTATATTATTATAATTTATTTAAAAAATACTATAGCTAATTATAAGCATTTTTATAATAAATAATAATATTAAATAGAGTTTATTTAGCTTAACTTTATTTAACTATATAAAGTTACTAGTAAAGGCTAGTTTTTATTTAAAGTATATATAATAATAATTAAAAGACTTTTTATTACTTTATAAGATTATATTAAGGTTTATTATTATTATAAACTATTAATAAGGGTTATTAAATACTATCTTAAGGTATATAAAGAATATATAAGGGTTTACTTTACTTTAAAAGCTATTTACTTTAAAGTATATAATAACTTTTATTTATAATATAATATTAAGGTTTATTTAAATATATATAAACTAAGACTTTAAAAAGCTAATAAAATCTATATTAGTCTTTAGTTTATATATTATAGCTTATTTTTAGCTTATAAATACTTTTATATTACTATTAAACTTCTTTTTTATAGGTAGGGGCTTTTATTAGACTATAAGTATATTAGCTAAAAAGAGAATCTTTTTAAGTATTATAGTCTAGCCTTTAGAGGTTTAATTAGCTATATTCTAGGTATTAAAAAGGTCTTATAATTATTATAGCTTTTCTTTTAAAAAAATATTTTATTCTATTATAGCTATAAACTAGGCTAAAAGTGCCTAATAGGCCTTAGCTATTAATAGTTATTATTTAAATTATAATTCTACTATTATTATTTTTATCTTATTAGCTTTTCTCTTAACTAGGTAAAAAGAATATTAATAAGGGAAGAGAGTTAATTATTAAGGATTAGCCTTAAGGTATTTATAGATAGGTATTATAGTAGTATTAACTCTTTTATAGAGTAAGAGAGGAGGAAAAGCTAGTTTATCTATTTACTATAGTATATAAAGGGGGTATACTAAGGGTATGCCTATAGTAGCCTTAGGCTAAGTCTAGCTAGAGTAGGCTTAAGCTTAACTCCTTTATAATAAGCTATTAATCTTATATTTAAAAGCCTATTTTATTTACTAATAGCCTAAACCTATATAAATATATATATACTTTAGCCTTACTTATTAATATTAATAAGACTATTATAATACTAATAACTAATACTCGCGATCCTGTATTTAGCCAGAACCCACGGGATTCTGTTTGTAGCTCTTCGAGCTACGTCTTGCATATAGAGCCTGCCCTACCTGAGGAGTGCCTATCCGTAGCAATAGATCTCATTTAACGCGCATGTGTGCTTCCCGTCCTACCCGCTGCCCGCCAACCCTGACAATACCTGTCACGGGGCAACCTGTGGGAGCATTCACAAGCCTAGCCGCTGCACCAAGCAAAAGACTAGTATGCAAGACCGCCAGGTCTTGCACTGCTCTCACACATATAGCCAGACAACATCACCAGCTGTGACAAGCTGTGACAATACCGTTTAAATTAACATAATCCAGCCTCTAGCGTGAGGTAACAAATAGCCACTATAGTATTAGACCACTAGCTTAACCCTCCAGCTTAGGCGCCTCAACGAGGTGGTGCGCGCGCCAGGCAATATCCTGCACTTCTGGGTTGGATGTCTTATCAACAGTATACGAGATGAAGGTGGGAGCAGAACCAGGAACAGGGCGGGATTGAGCAAAGCTCTGAGCGCTGCTGGTGCGTTTGATGCCGCCCCAGTTGCAATCGGCGTTGTGAAACCCAGACTGGGCAGCAGCCTTCCAGACCTCCTGAATGTCATCAATCATGGGTTTGGTCCAAAAGCGGCGACAGTCGGCGTATTCGGCGACAAATTGGGAGGGGGTGCCGTCGTCAAGGTGGTCGCGGACTATCTGGTCGCGGACATTGACAGAACCAGCAATACGGAAAGGAGTGATGTCGGTGTACTTGGCGAGGATAGCCTTAGTTGCAGCGTCGTCAGTCCAGTTGCTGGCCCTAGAGGTAAACCACAAAATGTCGCTGTACTTGTAGACCTGAGATCCTTTTACACCACCAATCGTCTGTTGAGGACCGGCCCGGGGGCGGCCACCAAAAACAACGGACTTTACGCCAGCATTGAGCCTTAAGAGCTCAGAGGTAATGGAGCAAGTGGAAGCGCAGTCGCCATCGTACAGGAGAATGACATCCTCGGCGTTGTAGTACTTGGTAGCATTCTTGCGAGAACGGTAGCCGGTGATGTCGATACCAATACCAAAAGTAGCGTTGGCGGTAGTCAGAGGATCGGACCAGTTCCAGGCCATGAGGTTGGAGTAGGGAGTGTTCTTATAAACGTGAGGCGCAAACTTGTCATCGTAAGAGACAAAGTTGCCAAAGGTCGTGTTGACGTCGTAGCGCCAGTTCAGCTCTGACTGCTGGATGTTGATCAAGTCGGAATCATTGCTATTGGCTGGGTCGAAGCCCTCCAGCTTATCGCTGATGGTCTTGGCGAGGGCGACGAAGCCGTCAGACTCCTTCCAGCGGGAAAAGCCATCCTCGTGGATGTCGGGGAAAACCTGCTTAAACAGCTCATAGCCGAGGGCAATATAACCACCACCGTTTCCTTGCAAATCAATGACAAGCTTCGTCTTGCCGGCCTGCGCCGCGCCAGCCAGGAAGTCTTGGATGACAGACTGGAATTCGACGGTGCTCTTAGGCTCGAAGCTGTTCATGGCCAAGACAGCGACGTTGTCAACACCCGCACCTTGGAGGTAGTAGCCGGTGACCACGTTGTCGTTGGTGCGGACAACGGGCTTGGGGTAGCCGGTCAGAGGGGGTTCAGGATCGTTCGGGTCCGGCTGAGAGGGAGGGGCAGGGGGGAGAGGCTGGCAGAATTTTTGGTAGAAGGAAGCGCCGTCGGTCACGCCGGTCAGGTTGCCGTTTACGCGGGCAGGCATAGGAAGGGTGGTGCTTGTTCCATTCGCGAAGCCAAATGTAATGTCGGGGCCACGGTAGAGGGGGCTGGAGCGAGCAGCGCTGCCAAACTGGCCCTTGAGGGCGAATGGTGCACGACTGGCCTGGTAGAAGAAGGTGTTGTAGGCAGTGTCGACGTCCTGGCTGTAGGTGCCGCTCTTGGCGAGCTCCTCGATGAACTCGGAGGCGTCTTGTCCGTTTATGGTCAGAAGCACGGAGGCAGCCTCGAAGTCAAGTTTATAATCCTCTTCATGGTGTTAGCACAGGAATGATGATGTGGTGAGGGAGCAACTTACCAAGAATCTTAATGACGGGGAGAGCTACGCCGTCCTCGCTGTAGGAGACAACACCACGAGGAGAGCGGAAGCTGAAGACGCTCATAGAGTCGGCCGTCAGCCAAAAGTGGCCATCGACGCCAGGAAAGTAAATCTTTTGCTGGATGTCCTTCTGGAACTCGTACTCGCCAGAGTACTTGCCCGCATCCACCTTGCTCATTACCTCCTTGAATCCCGCGAACAAGTCATAAGGGGAGTATTCGTAATCTGTGGGGGGGTCCTTGAGATAGGCCGCGTCACTCTGCCAGTCAAGGTATGGCTCAAGCGCCTTCAAGATGCCGGCGGCACGCTCCTTGTTGAAAGGCACCGATTGGAGGCAGTCGTGGGCGAGGGAGGCGGCAATGGAGGGGACAGCGTCTAACGGGCCATTAGCGGTCTTGCAAGGGTCAGAGCCGAGACGCCTGCTGAAGCCCAATTGCGGCATTGCGGCGACAACGAAACTTACTGGGACTGGCGGAAACGCGGCTGGCCCAGTCGGCGCTTGCCAAGGCGCAGGGCTCGGCGGTCTTGGTGGGAGCAGCGGTGGTGGTGCTGGTGGCAGATGAGAGACAGCCGCAGGCGCTAGATATGCGCTCGTTCATCTTGCCGTTCTGATTGTCCTTGCAGCCGCTGGCGGCGTACGTCGGAACAGGCACATTCGTGGCGCCAGCAGCCGTGTAAGACGAGCAAAAGGCTCTGGCGGACTCGACACGGCTAGGGACCTGCGTGGCACGGAGGGCACGTAGACAGTTGTCGGCATTGCACTTGGCAGGCGTAGCGGCAGCATTTGCGGTGGCGAGGACCGCCGTAGCAGCAACGACGGAGGTGGTGAAGCGCATGGCGAAGACTTCTCTTGTGCAGCAACTGCAGTCAAAGCAATTGAGGCCACCAGCCAGTATAGCATGCGACCGACCATGCCATCTTATACTCCGCATCAAGTGCTGCCAGCTTACTCACTTACTGGTGCTCTATCTATTCCCAGGTGAGGTCTGTATCAAACTACCAATAGCGCATAGCCTCTTTCCTCAATAGGAAGGCCAAGGTGCCGTTAAGCCAACCGGGCTTGCCGGGCCACAATTAGGAGCACAAATCCGCTAGATTTTCTCCACTTGCGCTGATAGCACGAGCTGGTCTAATAGTGGGCGGTCGTATATAGAGCCATTGAGGTAATTTAAAGGATACTAGGCTATTCGCACAGCTATTCCGTAACGGGAAGGCCATGGCGCGCAGAGGCGCAAGAAACGGGCAGTGGCCATAAAAGTGCGTAAAATGAAGAGTTCAGTGGTGAGCTGAGCTTCTGAGTTGTGGCTGTTTCTTCTGTTTTATTCTGTCAAGTAAACTCTGTCTAGTGCGTTTAGTGACTAATAAGCTAAACAAAAACTTTTACAAAGAAGCTCATTCTAGTGAGTGCCTCTAAATGTAGGATGTGTTTTGGTAAACGTTACTAAATGCCGTACACGCACACAGCTAATTAGAAGCCGCTACTCGTACTCCATTAGCGTTAGAATTTGGCGTTGAAATTAGCCAGTAAAAACAACACGGCAATTGAGAGATTGACCTCCAACGAGAGCCTCTCGCAAAGTTCCCCGTGGAGGGCCAGTCAAAAAACGTTATCAAAACATATAGGCTAATGGCTGTCTAGGCAAACGACTTGTAATTCGGAGGGCTAAGGCTTCCCCTTCTTTAAGAATATTGCGCTTTGGATATGTTCGGTATCTACTACCGTATATATAATATTAGTATAGGAAGCGAACTAAGAAAGACTCTCCTCTTCCTTAATAGAGAGCATACTTAATCTAGTCTTATATAGTGGTGCTTTAATAATGCTTGCTATGTCTCCTGTTATTTATATTGGCTATTTTCTATTGCTATCTTAAGCTTCGCCTCTATATTAATAACGATTGTAAATATAGTTATTATAACTTCTTAAGTAGAGCTAACGTCTAAGGACTAGCAACTACTTATATTTATATATATATATTATAATTCCTATACCTAATAATAGTAAATCTAAATTTATAAGGAATAGTACTTAATTCTTATATATTTTGCTAAAGTTTTTTTTTTTAAAGAATATATAGTTAGATTCTAGATACTACTACTTTCTATTCTTTCCTAACTAAAATATAAAAGTAGAATAAAATAAAGCTAGCCTACTAGCTTTTATACGTAATAGACACTCTATAGTTAGACTACTATAAGGGCGTAGAGAAGCCTTGCTAATAACCTTAACTACCTATATCTAGATTTTGTAGTTCTAATGCCTAACGCAATCTATCTTATCGCGGTTATATATACTCTATTTGCTATAGCAGTGTTAAAAGATACAAGCTTCTATAATATCCCTAGCTACCTGCTTAGTAGGGTAGTAGCCCTCTAGGTATTAGGAAAAGGAATGCTAGAGGCAGTAGGTAGTACTAAGAATATAGGGGTAGCTAAGGCTATGCACTATATATAGGTTAATTAAAGTTTATTAGATCCTATAGGTATATAAATATATATAGCTAAGGCGCTAGAGATACCTATCCCTATTCTAAAGGAAGTTAGCTACTAAATAGTAGCTAGTAGGGTTGTAAAGGGTTCTAAGGTGTTCTAAGTATATAAGGAGGCGGTCTATTTAAATATACTAAAGGATTATACTAACCTAGTAGGGCTCTATTTATAGCGGAAATGCCTTTAAAGCTAGGGTATAACGCCACTCCTGCATTTTAGTTTAATAGCTTAGGTAGGGCTGTATTAGCCTAATTATACCTTAAAAGAGTTTGTTGCTACTCTTATCTGTCCCTTTAACTCTATAGCTAATATACTTAGCGCTGTAATAGCGTAGTTGGTGGCTATGTTGGGGTTGGTAGTTGTGTTAGGGTCGGGGCAGGTGAGAGAGGCTCTTCTAAAGGATAGTTGCTTCTAGGCTGCTTCCATAGCCGATTCCAGGATAGGATATGCTTGTCAAGGAATGCACTAAGAGTAGAGGTACCTAAGTATTCTTTCACTTCTAATTTAAAGAACTAGATTTTCTTCAGAGCGTACTAAATAAGGAAAGTATCCCCTTTATATTTTAGTCCCTTACTAAATAAAAAACATAACTATTAAGAAGGTATATATACTAGATCTAATCCTAATAGCTCTATCTAATCGCTATAGAAGACCTCTAGAATCTATATCCTTTTCTTTTAGCTATATATTTAGCTTATATACTTATAGGGCCTAGAAGGGAAGAGTATAAATCTACCTTCTTAGCTAGAAAGAACCTTAAAAGCTAATAAATTTTTATATACTTTGCTTTTTAGTAAGCCCTATTTATATTTTAAATTAACTAGGTTAGATATCTTATACTAAAGCTCTAGAAAGTTTTACTTTAAAGGTATAGTTTCTAGGAAGGATAAGAAGTAAGAAGGCTATTTAATATATCTTACCTTATTAGTACTATTTTCTTATTCTTATAACTCTAGATTAAATTCGCTACTATTGTCTTTATACTTTTAGTCTATATACTCTTAGTCTATTTTATTTACTTCTCTCCTTAGTATTAGTAGTAGCGTATAATCGCCCGACGCTACTATAGCACCTAATTAGCTAGAAGGAGAATCGGTATCAGGTCTTGCAAGGTTGTGAGAAGTAAATAAACTAAAAGGTAGCAATCTTTATAATAATAGCATACTATTACTACTAATTAGGGTTAGGGAATTTACGCCTAAGTTTAAAGTTAGCTTCTTATTAATACTATTAAGAGTATTATTTTATTTATAAATACTAAATATATTTAAGCCTATATTATAAATATAACCCTATATTACTTTTATTATATATAAATTAGTATTTATTTCTTTATTATCTATATTTTATATTAATAATAACCTATAAAGATAAAATATTATATTCTATATAGATACTTTTAATCTTAATTTAATATACTTTTATAATCTTTTATTTATTTATTAAATTACCCTAATTAGACCTTATAGTCCTTTTAGTACTTTAATAAACTTATAAGTACTAGAAAAACTATAGTAATAAATCTATTATACTAATACCTTATTATACTAGGTATAGACCTAAAGCTACCTAGGTAAAAACTAGCCTCTTCTATATACTATTCTACTATTATATAATAATTCTTAGTAGTATTTAATAGAGTTTAGTATATTCTTAATAAGTAGGTTCCTAGACTACTACCTTAATCTATATCCTTCTATATTTTCTATTAATTATTAACTATCTAAGTATATTAAATTACTTACTATCTATATAGATATCTAAATAGTAAAATAGTTCTTTATTATTAGTATCTTCTATAAGGTTATATATTATAGTATTTATATAGTTTTTAGCTTTACTATACTATAAGGGCTAATTTAGTATAGTAATTAGTATATATCTCTTTAGCTTTTTACTTCTAACCTACTTTATAGTTACCCTATTTATATCCCCCTTATAAGTTTATTATAAGGCTAGGCTATACTACTTAACTTTTAGAAAGAAATTGTTTAAGGTGCCTCTAGCTAGATTTAAACTAGCAATCTATATACTAACCTATATAGAACTCCTTACTATAGAACTACTATACTATAAAGGTATTTATAATCTTTTAATAAATATAGTAAAAGTTAATATTTCTTAACTTTATATTATTTAGAATATAAATAAAGATCTATTTATTTAGCTAATAAAATCTTAATATAACAGACTAGCCTTAGAGGGGCTTTAAGGGTAACTAGCCCTATAGCTATTAGTAGCCTTATAGCGTATAACCCTCTTAACTATAAGGCCAAAAGGATTCATAATAACAATACTAGCACGATTATTATCTAGTTATACCTATAAGGGCCCCCTTTAGGGGCTCCGCACTAGCCACTCTTAAAAGGCGCTAGGCTAGAGCCTAGCCTATAATATACCTTCCCTCTCCCTAGCGCTATAGATAGGCTATAAACCCCCTAGATAAGCTACTACTTATAAGCCTAGGCTAAGGTCTATATATAGTACTAATCTACCTTCTATTATAATAGCTACCTACTATATAGTTTAAACCTATAACCTTAGGGTAGTATTATTATATATAATAGACTAGCCCT